GATGTGAGGAAAAAACTCAATGAGTGTGTTGAAGCAGATTAATTTAATCTGAGGAGATTTTCTCACATTAACTCAAGCGGCTCAGAAGTGGATTAGACTCCTCCTGAAGCTTAGACACGAGCTGAAGCCCACAATGAAACAAAAACCAGAGTGAAGAAGAAAGCCTGACCTTAACACAACTGACATGCTGAGGCATGACCTGGAGAGCTCTGTTCAATTAACACATCCGAGAAATGTCGATAAACTGAAAGGAACAAATCAAAGTTTTCAGTAAACTCTAACAGAGGCTGTAGCTGCTAATGGAGCTTTATTCCTTTTAAAAAACTGTGTGTTTAGTCAGCTACAAGCTGCAACCTCCACATCAGAAACATGAACTGCAGTTCCTCGAGCAACACGTGAGGCTAGCTCTAAAAGCGAGTAACTCCCCATATACTGTATATAAAAGATGGACGTAGCCACCTTTGAATTACCATTAGTTCTGAAATCTGGATTTTGAAACCTCAGTGTTACTGGTTGAGATCATGTTGGTCTTTTAGGGCAGGAAGTTACCATATTTACACCACAGGGTGGAGTGAAGCTATTAGCTAAAACGAGTTAGCTTAATTAGCAAGCTGCGTCAACAAACTGTACACGTACGATGCAGAGATACCCGTTAATTAGTTCTAATTAACCAAAAATGAAGCATAAATGTTTTGGATGAACTGTACCACACAGCAGGACACGATGTTTGTACGATAAATGCATTAAAACTGCAGTGAACAGGCTCCATGCAGCACCTCCAGCTAGCTGCAATATAGCTATGTGAACAGTGATTAGCCATGCTCCCTAGCTTAATTACACAGGTGTATGAGAGGTAAAGAAACAAATTACACCTCTTAGAGTTGTTATAATGGGGGAAAATATTCAAATCACTGTATTGGGCCTTGATACTTTCTACTGTTAGCACCACATAACAGGGACATGCATGTTAACATTACTGCATATACATCCAGCGTATGTAGGACTTCTAGCCTCAGCTAATGTGTAGACCTCGTCTCTGCTTCTGCCTTTAAGACACAAAATGTCAGTGAAACAAGCAAACAAACAGTAACGGAGACAACAAAGACAAAGCCTGCATGATCACGCAGCACTCCGCCCTGTTGTCCTGATTTTGTCATCACTATGGGCTCCGATGCCGAGGCATCAATATGTTGAGTCCGCTCACAGGCGGTGTGACGGTGGCTGTGTTCAGCTTTTACAGATGACGTTAGATCACATTTTGAGTAATCAGCGGGGAAATCCTGGTGATTCCAGCTGGCTCACTACACGTTTACGAGTTTGCAGATTGACTGTGACACCGAGTAAGCGACTTTATCTTGTTTCGTGGATGGAAAAGCGTTGCAGCAGTGTAGTGTTGTGTAGAAGTGTTGGTAGCAGGCTGAGATGTGTGCAGGACGCTTATTTCTGAGAGCAGGATGATGGGAGCTGAGGGGGACAGACTTGTTGTTTTGCTGCAGGAGCAGATGGATGTTTGTGTGTATGTGTGTGTGGTAATCGTTGGTGTGTGTTTCCTGGAGTTTGAACTCTCTTCTTCTGCTGTTTGTCTGTTTCTGTGCTCGCTCCATAAAGCAAATTAAAACTGAGAGAGAGAGAGAGAGAGGAGGATTAGAGGATTTAACGTGTTGGTCAGAGCTGAACATTAAATCTGATAAATTCAGATTTTCATCTCGTCTGCTCTCAGACTCACAGCCCATGTTTACTGTATTAACGAGGACCTTCAGGCTGCACGTGGAGCCGGTCCTGCAGTCTGAGTCTGATCACTCTGACGGGCGTTTGCACCTGCACAGAGGTCGGTGTGTCCACGTTCGAGTCCGGTTATGGTCAGCTGAACCAGCCTTCAGCTGTGTGCTTGTTTTAGAAGAGCCTTGAAGCTTCTGCTGGAGACAGTCAGCAGAAAGCAGGCAGCTCGAGGCTTCTGCGTTTGTTTTTCACCGGCAAGAAGCTGTCAGAGCAAAGTGATGCAGAGACTTTGCAGCATAGAGCCATAGAATAAAATTTCACCCGATTCTTTTTCTTCTTTATATTTTTGCTTTTCCTCTTTCTTAATTTTTTTGTGGCTTCTTTCAAACTTTCTTTTGCATGTTTGTTCCTGTTTCCTTGATTTTTCTA